AATCTCAATAATTAGGTGTATGTTAAATGGGGGTGTAAAAGGAAAAGGATGTTAGGGGAGTTTAGGTTATCTTCCTTTCATTCATCTAGTATTATTCTCTTGGGCAAACTTTTCTGTTTTCTATTCTTTTTGAATAAAGCATAAACATTACACAATACTAACACCAGGGTTCTGATGTCATGTAAAAAAAACTTTTTTTAAGAATAAATAAAACATGGTCATTTTAGGTTTAATTCTGAATAAAAATAAAACAAAAAACTGAAATTTTCTCTTCAAATTTTTCAATAAGCAGCTAATTTTATTAGACCTTTTTTTCAAAAATTGCAATACAAGTCATGAAAATGATATGCAATAAAATTTTTTTTTTTAACTTAACCAATTTACTTTCACCCTAACATACAGGGAGCTAGGCCTTTATTGCTTGCATGCATGGAGAACTTTTATCATCTAAGAAGGGGATGTCAGAAGGGAGGGGGGATTTTCTATTTGACAACGTCAGTAAATACATTGTTTGGTTGAATAAAGATTATGTCAATAATGCATTTTTCATCAAAGTAATGTTGCAGGGATTCTACACAGACATCCTTATATAAAACATTTAAGCATTAAAGGGACTGTACACGTAGGGGCGGATTGATTCACATCGATACCCTTTAAAGGGACAGACCGGCTATGTAAGTGTAATTAAACTGAATATGCAGTGTTGTGGACAAATTCTATAGGATTCATTTGAGACATAAAAAACGTTCGAATTCGACGTTCAAATTCATGAATATTTTAACGACGACGAAAAATAAATTAAAACTTTCACAGTAATCTAATTAGCTGGTTGGGAACATATTTCTCAAAAAAATTTTCAATAAATCAATGCTAAATCAATTATTTCGTTTTAATCATCATATTGAATTTCTTATTTTCTATGAATTTATTCGCAAATTTCTAAAAATTCTTCAAATGTCGTCTTTTAAATACAAATACCGGAAAATCTGTAGAAAATCTTTGTGAATAATAGAGAGATTATAGACACTAATAATTGAATAAGATTACTTATTTTTAATGATAAGAGTTAATTTTTATTTTCACAACCTGTTCCTAAACAACTAATTAGTTTACTATATAATTTTGTTTGCATTTTTTGTCGTCGTTATTTAATAATTTTAAAAAGCAAAAGTACGATTTTGAACGTCGACTTTGCGCTCAAACTCAGGATTTACAGATCTTTAAAAAGTTTTTATATGTCTCAAATGAATCCTAAAGAATTCGTCCACAACACTGCAGCCGGTATGTCCCTTTAAACATTTTTCTGATTATTCTGAAAATGATCGAATAAGCTAGATTTTTTTTCTTGTTCAGACATTAAATATTTACAATTTTCTCGAATACTAATTAGATGACACGCATAATTAACTATTTTCTAAACTCTAATTAGTTTTGGGTTTCTACCATATCGCATCCCCACCCTTGTGTATGTTGTCGAAATACATATCTGTAATCGTCATTCTTGTATATCTATGTCGTCATTATTATTGTTAAAACCAGATTACTTTTTGAACTTAGAATTTAGTGAGCTTTTGCCAAGTCGCCCCCCCCCATCAAACTTTAATTATTGTTGAAACCAGATTAATTCTTGAACTCTGAATTGAGATGGGTTCAAGCCACTAATTACTTGAGCACTTGGCCCTGGATTAAACTAATTATGGAGATTATGTACACACACTCCAATGTTTACAGAACAACATTCAGGCATCGATTTATATTATAAAGGATGATTCTGCAAAGACGACCTGAAACTCATAAAACATGACAATCCTAAGGTTAAATTAAATTTTCTGCCTATATAATCTACAATGGCATATTTAACTTTTTGGCGAATAAAAATAAAGTTTACAGTTGCAGGATAATGTGAATATAAGGAAACAGACAGTATGTATTCCGTACAGTACAGTCGTCTCTGAAGTTTTATCCTTTGTGAGTAACCCTGTACTTCATTTAGATCTGTACACTTTTGTCTTCCAATTACACATAAACACTAAAAATCAAAAATGTTCAAACAGGTTTAAACTCAAAATCTATCCTAGAAACCAAAATTAAAAATTTAAAATGAAATATTTTTATTAGAAGATGTATTCAGTTCTATTATGATCTTAAACTTAAACCAGGAGAATAAAATTTAATTTTCTTTTGTCTTATCATGATGAATTTAGATTCAAAAACCATTTTTTTTGTAATAATCTCAATAATTAGGTGTATGTTAAATGTCTAGTCCCTGATATTGAATATAACACAGTGAATATATATTTCAATATAAATGTTTAGGTGTATGCTAAATGTCTAGCTCCTGATATTGAATATAAGACAGTGAATATATATTTCAATATAAATGTTTAGGTGTATGCTAAATGTCTAGCTCCTGATATTGAATATAAGACAGTGAATATATATTTCAATATAAATGTTTAGGTCTATGCTAAATGTCTGGCTCCTGATATTGAATATAAGATAGTGAATAAATATTTCAATATAAATGTTTAGGTCTATGCTAAATGTCTAGCTCCTGATATTGAATATAAGACAGTGAATATATATTTAAAATAAAATGCTTCGGTGTATGCTAAGTGTCTGGCTCCTGATATTGAATATAAGACAGTGAATATATATTTCAATATAAATGTTTAGGCGTATGCTCAGTGTCTGGCTCCTGATATTGAGTATAAGACAGTGAATATATATTTCAATATAAATGTTTAGGTCTATGTTAAATGTCTAGCTCCTGATATTGAATATAAGAAAGTGAATATATATTTCAATATAAATGTTTAGGTGTATGCTAAATGTCTAGCTCCTGATATTGAATATAAGACAATGAATATATATTTCAATATGAATGTTTAGGTCTATGCTAAATGCCTAGCTCCTGATATTGAATATAAGACAGTAAATGTCCCGGAGATAATTTCAAGCAGAGAACTTGTACTTCTACTCCTCTCCAAATACAGGAAAACATTCAGAGCAATATAAATAGTTTTTAAAACATCATTCTTAGGTCTTTCAAATTTTCTGACATTTCCTAAGATTTTACAATCAAAAAGACATTGCATCAAAATGATTGAAATAGACATTTAATCAAAATGATTAAGAATAATAAGTCTTCTTTGAAGTAATTGCGACTGCAAACTTAATTTTAATATCAGCAGAAAGCAACCCCTAGAGAAAATTGAAAAATGAAAGTTTAAGCCTTTATCATTAAAAATACTAAAATACTTTTCAAACAATGAGATAAAAACAATAAAGTATAAAAACGAAATTTACTAAGATGCAAGGATTACAAATAATAAAATGAAAGATAGCAAATTCTCCTGTTTTTATTTACATTTTTTTAGCTCAATCGTTTCAACCGTTTCGACCTTCAACTTTAAACTTATCATTGATTGACAACAGGTTGCAAAAATATAGAGATCATAAATTTAGATTTTGTGGCGAGTACTCAGATCCTTTACATTGATTTCAATTGTTTATTGACTAACATTCCTTAAGTACTTTGAATTTGTTTCAAAACCGGAAGTTTTGAAATAATTGCATAACAGGAAATTTGGTTGGTTAAAGGGTAGATCAAGCTGGAGAAACAGATTAAGTGTGTCAAAATAAATAAAATAAAATTATCATTTGAATTCAAATATTTCTATCCCCCCCCCCTTCATATTCAACTTCGTAGAAACTATATAGATTGAATATATTTGCTGGAATGTCTAATTCACTTACCCTTGTTCAAGAATTACTCAGATATCTTCGGTTCTTCTATCTGAAAATTTATTACTTTCAATTGATGTTTTCTCAATGAAAGTACGGATTATGCTCCAGAAACAATGATAGAATTTGGCTAAATTGAAAACACAGCGAGATTCAGATAGAGATTTAACTGTATCGTTGTGAATTGAACATGCCACTGTTGTACACTAGACCACGTTTACAGTTCTTTCAAGCGAGAATTTTAAATGAAAATTAGGACTATAGACGGAAAACATTTTTAATAAATTCTATAAAATATTTTATAGCCCTGCAACCTTTTTACCAATATTCAAAACATTTTGTTTAAATTTTGAGGCATTTATCCAAATCTCCAGCAGACGTTGGTAAAATTTTACTTGCAAATCCGCCAATCCAAGATGGCTCCGGTTTTTGTACTTAAAGTTTATATTCGCGGTTAAAGCAATAGCTGAATCTGTGTGTGCCAACTCCAATAGAAATATTCTTAGATAAATTCATATTGGTGCAGTGTGGACAGTTTTTATATTTCCCACAGACAATTCTTTATCTTTTATCACCCAATACAGCTTTAACTTTGGTTATCTCTACATTAAACAGGAATCGTCATCAAAAAGTGTTTAATTTTTTTGGGTGTTCAAAAAAATGCTTTTTTAGGAGTTTTTTTACGGTTACTTTGAAAAGGTTCGTTTGTCCTGACGCCCTTCCTACCAAGTACCAATTATGTCTACAACCAACCTTTAAAGAGACTGTTCACTTATTTGGACAGGTTCCATGGCAAACTAATTACACTATTAGCTGTGTATTGTTATTAGTCTTACTGATGTTCAAAGATATCTATGACCGGAGAAAAAGCCAATTTATCATTTAGAATTCCAGCGGAAAGCTAGGTATGATACCTTTGCATAGACACTATTTTAACGTTTTTTTTTCAGAATCAGCTCAATAAAAAAAGAAAATTATCATATTTCAATGACATCAGTTTTAAAATGAAATATTAAAACTTTTAATCTTAGAATTAGTAAGAAATTAACGTTTTTCCTGTTCAAGCATGATTTAACTAATTAACACGTTTATAAAATAATAAACCGTGAAATGTTTAAAATAAGCTATATTTTGAAAATAGACATTTTAAAAATAATTTTAGAAAAAATAAAGATATCTACAATTAACTTTTATATACTGAAATTTAATTCAACATTTGAAAATTTAAAAAAATCCATGACTATGACAAAAAGTATCAAATTGTGTCTCTGCAAAGGTATCAAAGGAATTCTAAATGATAAATCGGCTTTTCTCCGGTCACAATTGTCTTTGAAAAGTAAGACATAATACCAATGAATAGCTAATAGGCTCTTAAGTTTACCCTCAAATTACCCAAATAAGTGAACGGTCCCTGTAAGTAATAAGAATCCTAACCCGTATGTCTTACATGTATAAAAAGTTAGTAGTTGATTCTGACCTTTTTTCATTTAGTAATCAGAAACTCAATTCCAAGTTTGTTTTAATAATTTGTTGAAACAAAAAGATATTATAAAAATCATTGATTTATTTTATGGTAAAGTTTGGTTAAACTAATCCTTAAATGTCAGAAAATATTTCTCCTGTGGGATATTTAGATTTGGAGCAGATTTCGAGAAACAACTTTAAACTTTTTAGTGACTACTCGGAAATAGAAAACATATCTAATTGTCAAACTGAGAGTCTAAAAAAATGAGAAAAAAGTCGTCAGCAAAGATGATCTTTGGGTTTGTCCTAGAGAACGATTTGCCCCACACCCCGACCACCCTCCCCCCTATACTATCAATTTTTACATGACAATTTTCAAAAATGTTCAACAAAATTAGTATACATTTAGGGTTAGGTTAGGTTAAGACACTTTCCGGGACAAGTTCTGCGGCTAGGACAGGCTAGGGGCCCGGGCGCTGCAGCTAAGACAGGCTAGGGTGCCAAGCACCGCATCTAGGACAGACTAGGGGGCTGGGCGCTGCGGCCACATGACCAACTTTATCTATGAGTTAAATATCAGATGCATGTACAAAATTAATAGTTTAAAATATCAATGGTCTACGAAATTGAGCTACAAAGATATAAGGATAAGAAAAAATTGAGCTTAAGACAAAATCTAACAGTTTTGTGTAAAGTAAAAGATTTTTAAAATTTTAATTCATATTTTCCTACTTTCCTACTTTAATTCCTACTTTCCTACTTTAATTTCTATTTTCCTACAACTAAATTCCACAGGAGTTGTAGCATCATGAACTTCAAAGGTTAGAACCCTAGCTGAAGGAAACAAGAGACTAGATATACTTAATTTTCTTTAAAATCTTTACATTACGTATATATCCTTTTTACATTATTTATATCCTTTTTACATTATTTATATATCCTTTTTATATTATATATATCCTTTTTATTTTATTATTTTACATGCTTCTAAATGTCTGCCCCGGGTACAGAATGAAGAACCGGGACCCGAAGCTGTTCTACTTGACAATGGATGTGACCATCAGGAAGACGGGGATACCCATCAAGAGAACCATGGTGCTAGAGGTAGGACACATCATGTTCAAACAAGATTTTCTTTAAAATAAGACAGACAAATATTACTTTTATACAAAATTGTATATATATGAATTTTCGTATAATTTTGACACAGTTGTATATCAATTTCTCGAGACAGAAACATAAGATAGATGTCTTATATGCATCCTATACCCCCTTTCATTTTTCCTTTACAGTCCCTTTAACCGTTTCTGTTTTTAATTAAAAATTTAGCTTTTCTTCATAATCAGACTGAGTAAAAGCATATATTGCACATTGCTCCATGATAGATATAAATTTTATTGCTAGACAATTTGGTCCAGCCGTTTGGTCAGCTAAAGCTAACATATTTATGAGCGAAGAGCTTTACTATATGGATTATTTCACTAAGTCCACTTTTAAGTTTTTATTACATAATTTGCAATAGAATATCTAATTCATTCTATTTATTTCCAATTTAGAGAAAGTCTATTGGCTTCTTGCATGTTGCGGAAGCTTAGAGCTTTGAAATATTGCTGGTTTCAATACACTCTTATAATTATATTATTGCAAGCAATGAAACTATAACTTACAGTGGAATATACTAAGGTCAATTAAGAATATAAACCTAAAAATGTTACCCCCCCCCCCCCATGGATATTCATATAGTCTGATTTTAAGAAACTAAATATTTTACGGGTTTTAATTTAAACCTAGTTGAAGAAACTCTAAATAAATTCAATATACTAAACTTTTCTTCTAAATTTTTAACTTATTATTGGAAACTTGATAACTCAAAAATGTAACTAAGCAAATATGCCTTACGTTTATTGGATTTGATAATTTTCTATATATTTGATAGAAAATTACATAGTGAAAGGAAACGAAGATGTACACAACGGACCACCACCATAAAGCTATAAGATTTAATGGCAAATTATAAAAAAATATTATTTCATAATTATAATCACTTTGTTTTTTAAAAAGATAATTAAAAATCTCAACTTCTTAGTTCCATTTTAAACTTTATTTTATCAGAAATCAAATTGACAGTGAACGTTTAAAATTGTATTTCAGAAACAAAAAGTTTCTAAAATAATGAAAAGCGACGTTTTGTCTGTATATATCCGAGTTTTATCGACAACTCTGAAACTCAATGAAACAAATTGTTTACAATATAATAAAATTAAAATGTTACATAATTTTCTGAAGGACTTTAAAGGGAGTGACGGCAATGTTGTTAAAATTAATTCGAAATATAAGGAAGACGATTTTTCCGACTCAAATTGCCGTAGCCTTTTCTCTAGATGTTTGCGTACCTCCAATTGATATTCGTCTATAGTTTCTTTATTAATTTCTAAACCAACCAATTTTAATGCCACTTGGGAAAATATTTCAAAACATTCGTTTTCTTAAATAAATGTTAGAAATATCCATGTAGATCTCCTTTTATTTTATCATATTGACTTTTAAAGTCAACAAATGTATTGTGGACAAAATTTTTTAGGATTTATTTGAGACATATAAAACGTTTCTACGACGTATATTTACTTAGTTTGAGCGCAAAGTCGACGTTCAAAATCATGAATTAGGGTGGATACGTTTTCAGAATCGTTTTTTTAATTATTAAACAACGACGACAAAGAATGTAACAAAAATTCTACATTAATCTAATTAGTTGTTTAGAACCATATTGAGAAAATAAAAGTTTACTCTTAACACAAAAAATAATTAATCTTTTTTAATCATTAGTTTCTATAATCTCTCATTATTCACAAAAATGTTCTGCAGATTTTCTGGAATTTTTATTGAAAAGACGGCATTTGAAGAATTTTTAGAAATCTATGAACAAATTCAAAGAAAATAAGAAATTCAAAATAATAACAAAAACGAAATAATTGATTCTAACATTGATTTATTGACAAAGGAATTGAGTTTTTGCAATAAACTTAAATTTTCTCACCCCTAAATCTTTGCAACCTGATGGTGTAAACCTTTGATATTTCAAACTTAGACTATTTGATCTACCAGAATTAATAGTTTGAAATATCAAAGGCCTAGGAAAACGGGTTGCTAACTTATTAGAATTAGAAAATCTAAGTTTGTGGCAAAAACTCAATTCCTTTCAAATAGAAATATGTTCCTAAACATCTTATTAGTTTACTGTATAATTTTTACTTTATTTTTCGTCGTCGTTTTTTAATGATAAAAAAACCCGATCCTGAAAACGTACCCACCCAAACTCATGATTTTGAACGTCGACTTTGCACTGAAACTCAGTAATTATTTATCGTGGAAACGTTTCATATGACTCAAATTAATTCCAAAAAGATTTTCTACAATTCTGCATACTCAGATCAAGCACCATACATTGCCGGTGACTCCATTTAATTGTATTTGTGAGTAAACATAATTTGCTTAAAAAAATCGCTAACCATTTATTCCATCTCAAAACAATGATATATTCGACTGAAAATTTTCTTAAGTGAAGCTTGTGGATTTCTACAAAATAAATAAGCAAAACGGCTGAATTTCCCCCCCAAAAATCATACTTTTTTCTTAGATGCGGACACATTTTTCAAATACCATGACATTCTTAAAGGGCCACGCGTTGGTTAAAATAATTGTTAGTCCCTTTAAAAGATACATTCCAGAAAGAATTCCCCCGGAATGTTTACAACGTGTATTAAAGGTGAACAATAAAGACACTATTTGTTGATCGAGGGGAACTTAGAGAAAAAGTAAAATATTAAAAAATATAGAAAATATTCGTAAAGTTTTGTTTTCATATTTTGTTTAGTTTTTAATTTAAATACAGTCTAGTAATTAAAAAAAAAATCGTTCATTTTCCTCAAACAAGCATTGTAGTTTTGAATTATATTATTTCTAAAATAGTTCACACAAACTAGTTTGATAAACAACAAATGAATTCTTAACTTTTTAAAATGTTCAGTAATTGGAGACGAACTGCAAAAAATATTTTAAAACATTTCATGCAACAATGTTGATTTAAATCCCAAAAAAAGGAAGCCTAGACAAATGTTGGTAGACGAAAATGGAACAAGAATTAAAAATTCAGTGTTTTTTGACACTCTTGTAAAAAAAAGGCAGGCGTCTGTGGTTAACAGACTAATAGTCTGGTTGGTTAGTTGGCTAATTGGTTCGTTGGTTAGGTTGGTTCGTTGGTTAGGTTGGTTAGGTTGGTTCGTTGGTTAGGTTGGTTCGTTGGTAAGGTTGGTTCATTGGTTAGGTTGGTTCGTTGGTTAGGTTGGTTAGGTTGGTTCGTTGGTTAGGTTGGTTCGTTGGTTAGGTTGGTTCGTTGGTTAGGTTGGTTCGTTGGTTAGGCTCCTCAAATCGGACACAGTAGTCTCTAATGATTATTAAGTAGATTTGTTTCAAACCTGTAATAAATTACAGGTATTAAACATGGATAACAATATTTTAATGTAGATCAAATGTTTGATAAAATAGTTTACTAGTTTTTATATTAAACATGAATGACAATATTTTATTTTAGTTACAATGTTTGATAAATAGCTTACTATTATTTCATGTGGGAGGGAAAAAGATTGGTTAAGGGTTTGAGGGTTTGGTGGTGTAGTTTAAAACATTTATAATACTTCTGAAAATATATACTACTAGAAATTCAAGGCGCTTCGCGCCCTTCTTTCTAGCCTTAGAGGTTGCTTCGCGCCCCTCTTCTAAATTAATTGTAAACATGTTCTCTTTGTGTACATCGTAAAACTAAACAAAAATAATTTGCGGATTTTTACAAAAAATTTCGCGGATTTTCAAAATTTTAAAAAATTTAATGACGATCAATTTTGATAGAGACAAATATTTGAAATTTTGATGATTCATAAACCTTCCCTGGGCTCCCTAGATGTCCCACAAAAAATTTGGGCCCGATCGGTTCAGCCGTTTTGACGTTTATTGGATCCAAACAAACAAACAGACAAACAAACAAACAGACAAGCCAAATTTATATATAGATTTGCTTAAATGGAATCTGCTATGGATTGCAAAGGCTATGGATTGCAAAGTTATTTATGGATTTAAACTTTCACTTGGTAAAACGTTTCACTGTTTTGATTTTCCTTTGTCGGAGTATAGATGGAGTCGGCAAAAATGTTTGGTTTGGACTTTAGGCTGGTGAAGGCGACATTTCTTGTAAAAATGTTTGGTTTGGACTTTAGGCTGGTGAAGGCGATATTTCTTGTAAAAATGTCTCAAATTAGATTTATGGTCTACAACTCTCTATATAGTGCAGTACAGGAGGATATATGTTACAGCCAAGGTGTTACAACACTTTATCTCTGCTAATAAAACAACAATTGCAAAACTAAACAAATTACAGAAACACCTTTTTCCCACCGCAGTGTTTTTGGTAAAAATATATCGAGACTAATTTTTAACATATTCTTGCCATGATTTCAAGTAAACTTTAATTTGAAGCGTCGCGTTATACGGATTCACAACAGTACCATTTGCCAATAATTGATTACATATTCATTAAGATATCGTTTTTTTCTGTCTTGAAAAAATGTTCAATTTCCTCCTTTGTCCCTTCTGCATAAATCCGCGAGTCACTTTTTTAGAAATCCGCAAAATTATCCATTTTTCGGTTGTAAAAACATTAGTTTAAACTTTATCAGCTTTACTTCTACAAAAGTTTAAAGGGATTATAGGATCCTTTATCTTAAATTTAAATTTAAGATTCTTTGTTGACTCTTTATTTTGCTTGGAAGGGGCTCCGTTTTGTTAGGTATAATCATTTACAGTGGAGCCCTTCTTTTTCTAATAAAATTTTCCCAAGTCTGGTAAAGTTTGGAAACATTTTAGGACACAGTTTTAGAAAAATTCAATTTCAAATTACCAAATCGGTTGCAGCATTTACTGATTTGAAGAATAAAGAAGACGACTGGAATTCCCCTATTCTCCATGGTTTCCGCATTTTTTACATTTATATTCAATATATTTTATATTTTAGGATATTGCTCGGCCTGCCCAGTTAAAATCTTGCAACCCTTGGGGGGATTGCAGGTAGTTCACACAGTTTATTTTGAATTCAAAATTTTAGATTTTTAAAATTTTTAAAATTTCAGAACAAAACGTAATTTTGGATACGTTAATGTACAACTGAAAAAAAATATTCTGTTTTTGTGTTTTCTCTCCTTTTTTCTATCAAGGATTATAAACAGGGCTACCCACGGCCACAAAATTAATAAACTACAATAATGACCTAAAATAATTTAAATATAACAATCTGAAAATGAATTGAGTCATTGCCACAAACTTTGACTCTCTTACCCCTTTATCTTTGCAACACAATTTCGAAGACCTTTGATATTTCAAACTATGCATTCTGTTAGATAAAATAATCCAAGTTCATATCATCATGTTGTAAAAATATAGGGATTAGAAAATTTTAGTCTTTGGCAAAGACGCAATTCTTTTATTTTAATTTTCTGTCTCCAATATACACTCTTTTGATGGCATATTTGATGACTGGGTCAAAGAAACAAGTTTGTTACTGTAAACCTTGGATGCAAGAGCAAAGTCTAAAAAATCTTGTCTCTGAAGTCTCGCCTTAACCCTGTATGTCATAAACGAATACATTTTTTATGGAAATTTTTAGTTTATATTCTTTATTTAAAAATCTTTCCAGAAAATGGTTGGTAATTTTTTTTTAAATGTCACAATATTTAAAATAGTTTAGATTAATGCTCTAAAATCTTTTATAAATATAATAAAACCTTGTATTTTCTGTATAGTATAACAGAATGAAAAACATGTTAATTTTAATATGTCAATATTTGCATGACAAAGTGAAAACTAAATCAACACGTTTGTTTCAGTAAATTTATTACTCTATTTTTAATTTTTTTTTCTATTTTTAGTAATTTTAGGATTTTTAATAATTAGATTAACTTATTATTTTCATTGTTAATTGTACGTTTGATTAAAAAATTGCATAATTGTATTAATTAATCCTAAGCTGATTATGCCCCCCCCCCTCAAACTTGCCTCAAACTCTAATTTTCTAGTTCCTACATCTGTGCATACTTATTGGTCTAACCGTTTATATTTTGAAATATGACTTATTGGTCTAACATAATTTGAAAGGTAAAAAGTCTACGACATAAAGTTGCAGAGGCATGAAGATTCAAAAATACTGTTTGAAGAAAGTTCATATAGTTATTATTAATTATTAAAATCTAATCATTAAAATCTTATTAATAAAATCTAATTGTTAAAATCTAATTATCAAAATCGAATCATAATATCTAATTATTAAAATCTAATCATTAAAATCTAATTATTAAAATCTAATCATGAAATCTAATTATTAAAACTTAATTGTTAAAATCTAATTATCAAAATCTGATCATAAAATCTAATTGTTAAAATATAATTGTTAAAATTGTTCAATTCTAATTGTTAAAATCTAATTATTAAAATCTAATTGTTAAAATTTAATTGTTAAAATCTAATAATTGAAATCTGATTATAAAAATCTAATTATTAAAATCTAGGTTTAGCCTGCAGATGCGTAAGGGTGGTCTTGTAAGAATCCATGATAGTGTTCTAATGGAAGAATCTAAATATAAATGTCTTCTAATCTCAGATGAAACTACTGTCGAAGATGTAATTAGGTGAGTACCCCCCCCCCCCTAGAAAACTCTTTGAACTTTTTTAACCCTGCATCTTTTTTATAAATGAATATTAAAAGTGATATCTGATTAAAGGTTCCGAATTGTGCATAGCTTATAATGGAAGGTATACAATCCCCTTAGATTAAAGTTTTAGATTCTTAAAAGTTTGATTTCATTCGCTTTCTACGATGTACCTTGAACTGTTTCTTGGCACACTGGTATTTAGTTCCAAAATATTTTAAAGTTTGATAGAAAAAATTGAAAAGAATGGCCATTCATCTTTTTCATATTCAGACAAATATTTTATTTTCCTGTCAAATTTATGCAAAATCATTCTCAAGACTACAAAGAACTTTTTTTTTATATTTTTCTAACTACTTTTTTATCTTTTTCCTACTTATTGTTTGTATAAGAAATGTAAAAAATTAAATTTTTTTTTTCATATTTCTTCAACTTGTTAATTGTCGGAGAATCACACCTGTTGATAACAATTTTTTTTATCCCAATCGGAATTTTAATTTTCCCTTTTTCTTCTTTTCAACCACTTCTATAATGATCAAATAATCAAAGTTTGAAATCTCAGGTTTACACATTCAGGCAGCATGAAATAATTTTTAGAAATTAGATTTTGAGTCAAGTTTTTAGTGTAAAGATTGTTACATTAATTATATACTGTCTAGTGTATAACTTCTAAAATGTTAAAATTCCTGTTGAACAAGTAAATTTTGTGTAATATATTTTCAAGTTCGTGTTCTTTTCAATTTTACTGCTTCATGCCACGTAATTCCTGCAATGTATAAAATGTATAAAATGTGTCATGTCCAATCTAGAAATTGCATTTGCTCGGGGGGACCAACTTTATGTATACTTTTTTCATTTTGTTTTTTATATTTTGCAGGAATTTGTCTGTGTAGCATTGTGTTACAGAATTCGGTTAATTTTATGTTACAGGATTTACTTTGTGTTACAGGGCTTAGTTTGTGTTACATGATTAATTTTGCGGTACATGATTAAGTTTGCGTTACATAATTTGTTTGTGTTGCAGGATTTAGTTTGTGTTACAGGCTTTAGTTTGTGTTACAAAATTTAGTTTGTTTAATAGGATTTAGTTTGTGTTACAGAATTTAGTTTGTGTAATAGGATTTAGTTTGTTTTACAGGATTTAGTTAGTGTTGCAGGGTTTAGTTTGTTGCAGGGTTTAATTTGTGTTACAGGGTTTTGTTTTTGTTGCAGAGTTTGTATCTAAACTGTTATGGATTATTGTTACAGGATTCTAATAAACTGTCACGGATTATTGTTACAGGATTCTACTAAACTGTCATGGATTAATATTACAGGATTCTACTAAACTGTCACGGATTATTGTTATAGGATTCTACTAAACTGTCACGGATTATTGTTATAGGATTTTACTAAACTGTCATGGATTAATGTTACAGGATTCTGCTAAACTGTTAGGGATTAATGTTACAGGATTCTACTAAACTGTTAGGCATTAATGTTACATGATTCTACTAAATTGTTCCAGAATTCTATTGAACTGTTATGGATTATTGTTAAAGGATTCTATTAAACTGTTAAAATTATTATTACAGGATTCTATTAAATTGTTATTGATTATTATTACAGGATTCTGCTAAACTGTTACGGATTGGAGAACCTAGAAGATGTTACGAGATTTTGCCTTTTCGAGGTGAAGGAGAAAAAGGAACTAAAATTAAGCAGGTAAAGAGAAAATTTTATTGAAAAAGGAAAAATAACTATTTATCTCTTCATTAAAAGGAGGCAATTTGGATGTAATAAATATGGGAAGGAATTTTACATTGCCGAGGGTTCCCAAGACCTTGTTGTGTCCTGAAGTATTACGAGCGCAGCGACATCAATTTTGGTTGTAGCCAAATAGATTCTAGTACACTAGATGGCAACGTAGAATGTTTACATTCTCAGTACAGCTGTATTCTTACGTCACAAGTGTCAACTTATTTTTTGTGTCCGACAAAATTATTAATGATAGTGATTATAGTGCTTATCTTGAAGAAAAATAAGTGCAATTTTACATGTTCTTTATTTTCTGTTTTTACACTTTTTTTATTTTATCTTGGAAAACATGTCAACTAATGGGAGAAAATTTAGTTTTTCTTGATAAATTAGACACTTGTGACGTTGTGTATAATTGATCTATTTCTTTCTTGCCACCTATTGTGCTTGATAATCTATTTGGTTGTAGCTTTTATTAAGAGCGGGATAGGGGGGGGGGAGCGCTTGCGAAACTATGTGAGGACATAGATAAAAGTACAGACTAAATTAATTTATTGTTTAAGACGAAAGAGGAGACATAGATTAACCCAAAAAAGTTGTGGATAAATAAGTTTAATTTGTATTGTCTATTTAGGAGTGAGAAATTGCTCTCAGTTCAAAGTAACTGGTCTTCTTCTTCTTCTTCTTCTTCTTCTGCACTTCATAGATTTGTTCTAAAGCGCTCTACTAGATCAGTTTCTAATCAGGTTTCCACTTTTTATCCAAAAATCTAAAATAAGAATTCGGATAGAAATTTTATTTCTCAATCAACTCTATAAGCGCTTAGAAGTTATCTTAATATTTTGCTCGTAATATCATGACAAAATATTTCATTAATTTTGGTGACCATTGTAAGATAGTTGCCAGCTCGAACACACGTTTTAACCTCTGAATCTTATCATGAAGGGTTCTAAGTTTAACTAATTTTTAAACTTTTTCTCTATAGTTCAAACCCAAATTTTACTTTGATCTATCAACGTACACGATAAAATGTTAAATGCATTTCTCCATTTTTCTTCTTCAAACGTATTAAAAAGTTAAAAATTAATTTTCAAATCTGATCCGAGGTTTTATAACTATATTTTGTACATTTTGATTGTGATTTAAAGAGACTGCAGACATGATTGAAAGAGAATGAAGGCATGATGTAAAGAGACTACAGACATGATTTAAAGAGACTGCAGACATGATTTAAAGAGAATACAGACATGATTTAAAGAGACTGCAGACATGATTTAAAGATAATGCAGACATGATTTAAAGAGACTGCAGACATGATTTGAAGAGACTGCAGACATGATTTAAAGAAACTGCAGACATGATTTAAAGAGACTGTAGACATGATTTAAAGAGAATGAAGACATGATTTAAAGAGACTGCAGACATGATTTAAAGAGATTGCAGACTAGATTTAAAGAGACTGCAGACATGATTTAAAGAGACTGCAGACATGATTTAAAGAGACTGCAGACATGATTTAAAGAGACTGCAGACATGATTTAAAGAGAATGCAGACATGATTTAAAGAGACTGAAGACATGATTTAAAGAGAATGCAGACATGATTTAAAGAGACTGCAGACATGTTTTAAAGAGACTGCAGACATGATTTAAAGAGACTGTAGACTTGATTTAAAGAGAATGAAGACATGATTTAAAGAGACTGCAGACATGATTTAAAGAGACTGCAGACATGATTTAAAGAGATTGCAGACTAGATTTAAAGAGAATGTAGACATGTTTTAAAGAGACTGCAGGCATGATTTAAAGAGACTGCAGACATGATTTAAAGAGAATGCAGACATGATTTAAAGAGACTGTAGACATGATTTAAAGAGAATGATGCAGACATAATTTAAAGAGAATGCAGACATGATTTAAAGAGACTACAGACATGATTTAAAGAGACTGCTGACATGATTTAAAGAGACTGCAGACATGGTTTAAAGAGACTGCAGACATGATTTAAAGAGACTGCAGACATGATTTAAAGAGACTGCAGACACGATTTAAAGAGACTGCAGACATGATTTAAATAGACTGCAGACATGATTTAAAGAGACTACAGACATGATTTAAAGAGACTGCAGACATGAGTTCAAGAGACTTCAGACATGATTTAAAGAGACTGCAGACATGATTTAAAGAGACTGCAGACATCATTTAAAGATCTACCTTTCCAATTAACGATGGATAACTTTTGAACCTTTGGTTGAGTATTTGAAAATGGATTATTTTAAATTGCAGTTTAATTTGCATGCATATTTTTGTATCAGGTACAAGAAAGGCAATTTAGAGAATCTTTATATCTATATATTTATTCATTAATTAATTTATACAAAAAACGAGGATATCTTTCTCTTGTATAAGTAATCCCAGAAAGGGTTGTTGGGTACAGTTGGGAGCTAGATGGGTATGTGTTAGAATATATCATATTTTTGAAACCATTTTTAAATAATTTTTTTATGGCGTAATTCATGTTTTCTTCAAAAATGAACTAAATAAAAATTGTATTCAGAAAGGAATTGAGTTTTTGCCAAAAAATCTGATTTTCTAATCACTATATCTTTGGAACCAAATATTTCAAACTATGATTCTGTTAGATCAAATAATCTGAGTTTGAAATATCAAAGGTTTTGCAACATCGAGTTCTAAAGATATTGAGGTTTAAAAATTTGATTTTGCTCCAAAGACTCAATTCTTTTGAGAAAAAGAAGAAAAAATAATAGTTCTTCAAATTTAAACATTCATCGGTTAAAATTAAAAATCATTTTTGATAAAAATTAATAACCTAAAATTTTTTTTTCAAGTTTTCCCCTCAAAACTCTTTTTTCTGAATTATTTTCTAGGATATTTTGTATTTTCATCTGTTAAACTTTAAAAAGAAAAACCTAACAATGCTTGAATGTTTTCCCTTAAATTCAAATTTAATTGTGTTTTCTGCAACAATAATGGGGAGCATTGTGTTGTGTAATTAACTGTTTTTGAGACTTAAAACGGGAAAAAAAAATTTATTTATAAAAAAGCCATTAACGTTGATAATCTCTTTCAGTGGAATTATTACCGCTGTAACCAAGTTTGAGTTCTTTGGTGTAATACATATACAAATCTTTAAGTTATAAAACTGCACTTATACTCTCTACTCTACTCTCTACTTATGAAATATTCTTCTCATGGTTAAATGTTATTTTAGTCATAAAAAAAATATTTTTAACAAGTTTTCATATAATCAATCAAAGGAAATTATTTCTCGCTTCAATTTTTGAGTCCTTAATATTTACAACCCATTTCATACACTTTTGATATTTCAAACTTAGATTATTTGATTGTACAGAATTCATAGTTTAAAATATTGCAACATTGGGTTGCATGCAGATATGGACTTAATCAAATTAAATCAAATCAAATCATTTATTACTAATGCCCTAAACACGCAATCAATAAATCAATAAATTCAATTCCCTGAATGGACTCGTTTTTTTAGACGACTGAAGGACTTATTTACGCTTTTTTCTCTCTGACTTTTTTGTTTATTTACTGCATGGGGAATTGAACATTGTCTTATAGTATATTTTATTATCTAATATAATGTAACTTTTTAAATCTTCAATTAGAACTATAAAACTTCATATTTCTCTTTTATATATCTACATTTATAAATAGTTTATAAATAGGTTTGTGTTCTGGTCACCACTGCTGTAAATATAAACAATAGAAATAAACTTTCATTTCAGTTTCCCGAGGAGAGCTGTGTAGATGAGCTATCTAGCTTCCCAACCTATAATAGCAGCAGTAGTAGTAGCAGTAGTATTTGTAGTGAGATTGAAGCTGCTTTTCTCCCGTCCTCATCCTCATATGCATCCTCGCTTGCTCTACCCTCTCTTATATCTATCTCCAGGCCGCATGAGAATACTCCAAGTTCTCTTCCTCCCTCTGTCCTCTCTGAGTCCCTGCCCTACCCGGAGAAGAAGGTCAAGGTCGTGAAGGGTCCATCCATACGTTATGTCAAGGACGCATCCCAGTGCTCCCTTAGCTCTCAGAGTAACATATCTGAACCAGAGCAGTACTTTTATATATAATTTGGAGACAGAATAAGCCTTTATAAACATTTTATCTGGACGTTATAGAACGAACCATAAACTATAGTTTTATTGTAAACGATAAATAAAATAATAGCTACTTTTGTCAAATAAACTATTGTTAAAGTTGAAGATCTTTTATGTACATTTTTGTAATTTATATAAATCTGTTAGTAATTAAGCATATAACAGAAGAAACTGTTATAAAAACATTATAAACAGATAAGAATTTTTAAACGTTGCCTTCTCATTCCAAAGTTATCTCCCACTATTCAAATATACATATAACAAGGCATTTAAAGCGCTTCGCGCCCATCTTCTATTTTAATTGTGAACATGTTCACTTCGTGTACATAATAAACAAATACAAAAAATAATTTCGCGGATTTCATCAAAAATTTCGTGGAAATGTTCAAAAACTTAATGAAAATCGAATTTTGATAGAGACAAATTTTTGAAATTTTGATCATTCATATACCTTCCCCAGGGGCCACGGGAGGTCCCACACAAAATTTGAGCCCGATCAGTTCAGTACTTTTGACGTTTATTGGATAAAAACAAAGTAACAGACAAGCTCAGTATATATATATAGAAGTAGTAAACTCTGTTTGTATGCTTGTTTGTCCAATCATAACTCATTTTTTATTTTGGAACTCTGCAGAACCACGGGAATTCTCTTAGCTTGGTTTTCAAAACTCTAAGATGAGTGGGTTGACTTAAATATGGAAAACTTTGTTGCCAAGATTTAAGCTTTAAATAAAATTATAGAAACGTATTACCGATTAACATTAACATAAATGTAGGGTCATTTAGTATTACGGTGACAGACCCAAGTTATTTTAAAATAAAATTATAGAAACGTATTACCGATTAACATTAACATAAATGTAGGGTCATTTAGTATTACGGTGACAGACCCAGGTTATTTTTTCTGAAAATGAAAATAGAATATATTCTGAAAATGAAAAGGCCCCCTGGCTTTGAATTAAATTGAATTTGTTTCACATCATAGTAACCATTATTGAGATATCAAAGGATATGGTAAATAGTTTCATTAACATGAATAACAAATAACATCAAATAATTCAGGTTTGCAATATTGTGTACAAGAAACATCTACTACCACTTCTGTTTGCTGAGTCCATTAGTGCCTGATCCAATCAGGGTTCAGTCATGTGTTTGATGTCTATTCTGAACCAATAGAATTAGTATCTATCTCATTATCCAATTAGAGTTATGAATACTTCAATCGTCGCTATCAGTAAATGGAAATATTTACTTCTACTGAAACATGGTGCTATAGTCTCCTTGAAACCTAATCAGAGAGAAACGATGGAAAAAATAAATAATTTTAACACAACATGTAAATAAACATTTAAAGGGACTGTAGACGTAATTTCAAGTGACAATATTTAAAGAGCAGTATATAAAGATGTCAAAACTATTGTAATGGCACTAAACTGATATTGATATCCACTGTGACCTCTTTTAAACTAATAACACTTTTAAACCAGCTGTAAAATAATCCGACCCTTTTCATGATAAGAAGCGCATCGCATGTTTTAATAATAAAGAAACAGATCTAAATCTATATTTTTGAAGTAAACTAGGATATATATTATATATGGATAAAAAACATGTATTTCATGATACATGCTAATTGTTGTCTAAAACAATAATAGAACGTGTTGTAATAGACTGCGTCCCAGACTTTAAACAAGAGTAAACGTGTTTTTTAAAGTTTCTCTATAATAATCAATTAATCAAACTTTTTAAAAGTTCCATTGAAGGCAAATAATTAAAAAAGAACCATATTCTAAAACAAAAAATCCGCGAAATATCAAAATGAAAATCCACGAAGCTTAATATATATCATTTAAAAGAGTAAGTTTAAAAAAACACCACCAGAAGTCGCTAGTATACATGCATATTTATTTAATTATCCTTACGTCAAATTATTTAAACTTTATTCAAAATAGAATTAATAAGAATATAAATGCACTGGAGGATGTTAAAGGGCTTATAAGTTTAGCTAAGAATATATTTGATTTTTACGCACATCTATCCAGGTTGATTTTATACTTAATACCTTTCTATCATCATGTAATAATTAAGATTTTAGTTTTTTTCTTTTATTTCAGTTGAACAATTTGTGAGGCTGCAATGTGCTGTACAGCACTAGAGAGCCGGCCATTATTAGTTTTGTATTTTTCGTTTTTTGAGCTTTCACGAGATAAACATCTTAATTTTCAAGAAGATTTAAATAAACACAGTTGCAGATTGTTAACTTACTAAAATTTCAAAACATTACAATTACGTTCATACTTTGTTTAATTTGTCTTTTTCTCCAGGTTGTTTAAGACATATTGTACTTTGAAGATACACCATTTCTTGGAATGTTTTTTGCACTTAAACTGCACTAGACTAGATTTAAATCCAATTCTTGAAACTGTAGATCTATAAACATAATAGCAGTATTCTGCACTATATAAATCCCCAGTTCTTATCTTCATACACATTATATAGAAATGACCAGGATTTTGGTAATTCTTTTTTATCTTTATACATCACATATTATTTGAAAAAGTAAACATAGTATGAATTCTATTAAAACGGCCAGAAGGGAACCTAAGGTTGCAATATTTTTTCTTTTTTTTGAAACATAACAATATCATATGAAAATTCACAAACTAGAAAATCCTTCCTTTACAAAAATAAAACTCAGAAATACAACACCATGGAGTTGCTGGCGTCCATTCGTTTTTATTCACGATTCTTAACTTCAAAAAATAGAAGCTTTATTTCAAATTAAATTAATAAGATTATAAATTTATTAGCAATGTGGAAGGGTTTTGAGAATCGATTTTTAAAATTATCAAATAACGAGGACAAAAAATGTAAAAAATTCATTAAACTAATTAGTTGTTTAGAAACAGGTTGAGAAAATAAAAATAAACTCTTATCATCGAAAATAACTAATCTTATTAAATTATTAGTATCTATAATTTCTCATTCTTTACAAAGATTTTCTACCGATTTTCTGGAATCTTTATTTAAAAGTCGACATTTGATGAATTTTAGAAATCTGCAAATAAATTCATAGAAAATAAGAAATTCAATATAATGATGAAAACGAAATAATTGATTCTAACATTGATTTATTGACAAAGGAATTGAGTCCTTGCCACAAATTCTGATTTTCTAATCCCTATATCTTTTGAACCCTATGTAGTAAACCTTTGATATCTCAAACTTATATTATTTGATCTAACAGAAGTCATAGTTTGAAATGTCAAATGACTACAACATTGGACTGCAAAGATATAGGAATTAGAAAATCAGAGTTTGTTACTAAGACTTAATTCCTTTATTTTGAGAAATAGGTTCCTAAACATCTAATTAGTCTACTATAAAGTTTTTACAATATTTTTTGTCGTCGTTATTTAATAATTAAAAAAAACAAAACAATTTGCATATTGTATTCACCCAAATCGATGATTTTTAACTTCGACTGTACGCTCAAACTCCGTAACTATAGATCTTTAAAACGTTTTTTATAAGTCTCAAATGAACCCTAAAAAATTCTCTACAATATTGCAATCTCAGTTCTACTACCATACATTGCCAGTCACTCCCTTTAATACGTTTTTTTTTTATTTTTAAAGAGGCATTAAAAAATGCCGCTATAGGGGACTTTTTCTTTTATTTGAGAGATATAATTTCTTGATACTTTTATTATTCCTGTAGGATTTCAAAAAGTAATTAAATTAATATATTCGTATTGATCTGAACATGATCAATGTTTTAGCCCTAGCTTTACAACACAAAAGTATTGTCCTTAGCTTGTAATTCTTGAAATAAATCAAATCTATTTATATTTTAGATATATTTGTGTCCAACAGTAATCTCTTTGTGATGAATGAAGAAATATTTTAGAAAATTGTACAATCATATCTTTTCCAGTTTATCAAAATATTATTCACAGAAATTCACAAAGCTTCCCATCCCTTATTTTGGTTTAGGCTGTCCTAGTAAACAAAGAAATTGAGTCTTTGTTACAAACTCAAATATTATATTCCCTATATTTTTGCAACCTGATGGGGTAAACCTTTCATATTTTAAACTTAGATTACTTGATATAACAGATTTTATTGTTTGAAATCTCTAAGGTATAAAGACATCAAGTTGCAAAGATAAAGGGATTAGAAAATCAGAGTTTGAGACTAAGACTCAATTATTTAAGATAGAAACATAATGCCTGATCCGTCAGATCTAACAGTTTTGATGTTTATAAACGCAGTTTCTTTAATGTACATCCTTTCACACATGATGCAATTACATTTACAACCATTAATGTCTTCCTGCATAAGAGTTAGAAGCTATTTTATGCAAAAAAATTACATTAAAAACATGCATAACTAAATTATCCCTAATAGCTATTTCGCAGGAAAAATCTATTTCTATTCTACATCATATTTTCAATCGCATAAAGCTGTAGCGTTTTTTCCTAGTAATGGAGCTTTCTTAGATTCAAATACTTAGCACCTTTCCTTGAAAGGAATAGTAATATCCATTGAATTACATTTTGGGTTGCTCCTTTAGTCTAGTCCTTTCTGACGAAATTCATTGAAAATGGATTCTTATCATTGTAATAGCAGTATTCTGCACTACATATAAACCCAAATGGATTCTTATTATTGTAGTAGCAGTATTCTGCACTACATATAAACCCAAATGGATTCTTATCAGTGTAGTAGCAGTATTCTGCACTACATATAAACCCAAATGGATTCTTATCAGTGTAGTAGCAGTATTCTGCACTACATATAAACCCAAATGGATTCTTATCAGTGTAGTAGCAGTATTCTGCACTACATATAAACCCAAATGGATTCTTATTAGTGTAATAGCATTATTCTGCACTACATATAAACCCAAATGGATTTTTGTCAGTGCAGTAGCAGTATTCTGCACTATACATATAAACCCAATTCTTATCTTCATGCACATCATATAGGATATTGGTAATCCTTTTTATATTTCTATACATTATACATTATGTGAAAAAGTAAATATAAGTTCAAATTTTACTAATGCTGAAATGAACCCTCCGGTTGTGATGTTTTTCA